CCTCTCTCTCTCTCTCTCTCTCTCTTTCATCTCTCATCACCTTCTGTGTCAACACCCGCCGCTTGGTCGCCCTCCTCTACTTTCGCCGCCTGATAGCTGGCGGTCCGCTAGGTCGCCCTCCTCCGCTAGGTCACCTCCTCCCCTGGTACCGCCTAGTAGCGGGCGATCTGCGTGCCGGTTTACTAGCGGACCGATATGTACCACTTGCACCAGGTGGTACGATACGATTTTAAAAACCTTGCTCAGAGTTTTGAATATCGGCTTGTATCAACATATCGAGCTTTGCTCGGTACGATATGTACTGGTATGTACCGTCAGTCAAGGATTTTAATTTTGAATAATACTATCTGTATAAGGTAGTTTATGAACATCCTAAGATAAACCTAAAGAACAGATAATATCATATGCAAACTCTGTTTCTTGATATTTCTTGATATATAAACTTATAAGAGTATCAAAGTGCAAGAAGATGTTATGCAATACCATCAAAGAGAGAATTATAGGTGCCAAAACTAAACACCACTCAGTTGAGTAAGAAGTGCAGCCATGTCTGAAAAAAAAATCTTAAAATTGCATCCATAAGAGCCCCTGAGTTGATTTGTTCAATTTACCACTTCATACAAATTAAAGAAGATGAAATACACATTATTTTAATTTCAATGGAAGGCAATTACCACATTATACAAATTAAAAAGGATGGAAATACACAATAATTTAATTCCAAAAGGGAAGACTTAAACAATCAAGGACCTTTGGTCAGTATCTAGTATTTTCAAAACTGGATAAAGCTGAAGGCATTAAAGAGATCTAAAGAAAAAAAAGAGAATGTAGAATAAAGGAATAGTCTAGTCATTTGTGTTAAAATATCAAGAACAGGACATCGACGTTATATCCTCTTGTAGTTTTTTTGTCTGGAAGCATTTTGGGTGCCTCATAAAGATATACAAGTGTTCTCATAAATAGTCATATAAACCCTACATTACAAAGATCATTCTCTTTTATCTATTGGCCACTCATTTTGACTAAATTTCCCTTCAACATTCAAGTACATAAAGTCAGATATCATGCAGATACTAGTAGCCTGAATTTTGCCATCTCTTTTGTGTTCTCACAATTTAGACTAAGAACCAAGACATCATTACTAAAGAATCTTCATATTATGCCTAAAGACTCAATTCTAACCATGATTCTTCAGTCCCCATCACAAACCTAGGCAGTTTAACTGGCTGTGAAGTTTCTAATGGAATTCAGATCTACATTCATGCTTTCTAACTATCAACAGCAACAGATTATTTGGATCTGACCACAAACTTTAACAACCTGTGCATCCAAAAATGCACAAAGTAGACCATTCTCTAAATGGACCTGAAACACGAAACTACCGCTAAATATATGAGAGCCTCATATGCCTCTAAAAACTGCAAACACCTCAAAACATGCATTTTCAAACATGTTATGTACTACATGTTCCTTTATATTGGCTTGGTAAAAATCTATAATATTCATATGCAGTTCTCAGTTTAATACCTTAAACTTTTGATTTTTGAATGATTTCCTGAAACTTGAAGAATAATTGACTTAAATAAAAAGATCATATAAATATAGAAATATTTACTAAAATGCTTCAACATATGTTATATAAGTAATACAAGATCATAGGAAAAGAATACAATTTATGAATCATTTTAAACTGATATGGATACTTACCCATAATCTAGTACCTTACAATTACAGTCTTTGCAGAGGTAAAATGAGTAGGGCCAGATTTGCAAAAACCGAACCTGATGAGAAGGATAACAGTGTTTTAATATAAGGTATAAAACTATAGATAGCTGTTGGCTAGAAAATTGACACAAGTACAAACCAGCGAGTAAAGCTCTCCAACTCGATTTTGCAAAGGAGTGCCACTTAGAGCCCACTTGTAGAATGATTTTAAAGCAAAAACAGCCTTAGCAGTATTGGAGCGCCTATCTTTTATGAAATGAGCCTGCATAAGTACATAAAAATTACCTTGCAATAAATACCATTACTAATGTAAATAAGTAATTCTTGGATATATAACCCATGCTAAAAGTTTAAATCAACAGCATAAGTATGAAACCTGAGTTAGCAAAAGAGATTGCTAATTTTACTAACTCAAGGGACCAAGACAAAGCATTATATGTACACAAGGTTGAAAATAAGACAGCCAAAACAAAGCCTTATATGTTCACAACAACCTGCTTAGCAACCATTTTTTTTACTTACAACAATTAATGGATCTGCTGCTTGAAATGACTATTGGAGCTGTTATATTCCAAAAAATGTGTTATCTCACTTTCCAGAGAAAGTGAAAACAAAAGAATTGAAAGTCAACCTATATGATCCTATTCTGCCTGCATCTCTTTAATTCTTCTCTTACTGCATGCCCCATTTGGTTCTTTCAATCGCTTTGCAGACCTATCAAATGTTGTTGTCTTCTTAAGGTAGACTCTTACGCAGTCACTATAAAGCATTGCATTACTTGAGAGACTTTGTAATAGCGCAACTCATGGATGTCCATTCTTTATCATGTTTTCTGATACTTTAGAGTGAACATACAAGATAAAATCGAGAAGCTCTTTACCAGTATGTCAATCTGTAACAACTAAATGAACTCCATAATCAGAATCTTTTCATAAGCATTTACCACATCCTACCTAAAATCATTTACAAAATAAAACAGACAGGCACAGGACCTGCTACATAAACTGTACCAAGGATGAATCTTCCAAGATCAAGCATAAATTTTTTATGAAATATTAATATTAATTCTTCTTAGAATGCAATGAACTCAGCCTCAATTAAATCGACAAAATAAATCAGACCAAAACCCTTTATATATCAAACAGAAGAACACCAACATGATAATGGAGTCCTTCATCTTTATCCTTATAATGGCTAGTGAGCATTCCTTGAAAAATTTTGATTACCCCTAAAATCTGAATAAACATTATTTTCCAAACCATTTAAGGGATCACATTATAGATGGGTTTCTTTAGCTTTAAATCTATACACAATTACTCAATCTACATTCCCTGATTTATTTCCTTCAATGGATGAGATTCAATTGATTAAGAAAATAAAATTAAGGTTCACATGAAATTAGGCATTACTTACTAATGAAAAAATGCCATAAAAGCTAACTGGCATACTTAGATTGGATCAGTTTTCTCCCAGATGTTCATGTCTCGGTTCAACAAGATGAAACTAGAACTGAGATAGACCTGCACTGGGTTCAAACTCTTATTGACTTCGACTCAACAGTAAACTTGCCATTTGAAACCTAAACAATCATTTAAGCATCTGTCGTGAAGAATCATAAGGAGCAGCATCATAAAAGATTATTTGTCAAGAAGAATTTCTTTGTTCATATGATATCAAGATTAAATGGTATGGTATATGATAAAGGCCAAAGAAAGTCACATCTTGCCTAGTTCTGCTCAAGGTGAATGTACATGCAAGTAGGCATTTTGGCACAAGGTGCAATTTCCAAGGTGCCAAAAAACAGAAAATGTTATTAGTATGTCTAATTCAAACTGTGGCACCTTACAATGTCTAACATGATGTGCATCTTGGACTTATTCCTATTAGATTGAGTTATAGATCATACTAATATATTAGGTTCACAAGCTGAAGAGATTTGTCATTGATGCCACAACAGGTCCAACTTCTCAAGAAATAACTGGTTTGAAGTAAGAGATAAAATTTCATGATTCCATTGTATGATATGCTTCAGCATCCCCAAAAGCTCAATCTTTCTTAATCTTTCTTAGCCAATAGCTTTCTTTGAAGCTCGTTTGTCAAAATGGAGATACAGTCTAAGTCTTACCTGTAAAATCTATTTAATCTCACTTGACAATATGGATCAATCCATGTAGCCACGAGTAACAGAAATTGGGCAGTTATGTTATAAACTATAACCGCCAGATTTAGATTGTCAAATGCTATATTTTGCCCTGCATAGTATACATGGTAATGACAGCTTATACAAATACCTATTCAGATACTTGTAGTGTGACACAATATATATTTTTTTAGATTTTTCTTTCAAGAAAAGATCCATTTGTTGATAGTTAGATCATATTGTCTAGAGGTATCATCTGGAAAATGTGCATTGACATCGGTGACCAAACACTTACCTTGTAAGTTGTATCAAATGGAGTAAGCATCTCCAAGCTCCTTCACCTGTGATTCGAGGCATATTCGAACTACCACAGTACCACATATGCCTAGCTATGTCAGTAAGTTTTTCCAAGCCTATGAGCAGACTAAAAGTGTTTTGGAGCCTGAATCTGATCCGCTGATCTCCCTAAAAACATTATATTCAAACGCCCTTTCCATTGAAAGATGACTTAGCACTCACTAATGACTACAATCATAGAGATCTTACTAGAAACATTCAAAAATGGCCTAGCAAATGGTACAGGGAGCAAGAGGATAGTTGCTTACCTCATCCAGAATAATTCGTTCCCATTTCACAGAATGCAAGATTGACTTTCCCGGTGATGGGTTCATGAGCTTGTCAGCTAATTCATCCTGTTTCTTGGTCTTTTCAAATCCCTTTCTCTTCCCTTTCAATTTTTCAATCTTCTTCTTGCTCACTTGTTTTGATTGTTTTTCCGTCTTAGAAGCATCAGGCCCACAGTAATACTTCAAGTGTATCCGCAGCTTGTTAGGGTACAACATCTTAGAGCACCACTGGCATGCCACCTTTGGCGGCATCATGTACTTCCTAAATTCACACTCAATCGTCGAGTATGTGGTAATTACAAAATCATAGTCATCAAAGTTAGAGTTAATCTTATCCCTCTTTGCCCCATGATAGACCAAAACCCTGGTGCTCCCCTTTTCCGTGTACCTGTCGATCTCACCCACCCACTGGATGACTGCAACCACTGGGCAAATGACCAGGGTGCATTTGATCTCTGGTAGCGAATATGATGAACAGGGAGGTGGCAAGTTCAAGTCCAGGCCAGAACCAGTGCTCCTTGAGTGGAGGGCGCGAGCGGTGAGGACAAGGGAAATAGCCTGTATGGTCTTTCCCATGCCCATCTCATCAGCAAGAATCCCCCCCTTAATGTCCGAATTCTCCTGCTTAAGAGCCCAAGCAAGCCACTCCTTTTGGAACCTGAGGAGGGGGAGTATGACGTCAGGCGACGGTTCGGCAGTCTCAACTAATCCAATCGGTTCAAAACCAAGTTTATCCTGGCCCTTCTGCTCAAACTCATCGATCCATTTCTCATTCTCCCTTTCCCAGATCTGCCACAAAAGCAAAGCGGCACTTCTATCCCTCCTACGACTGTCATTTCTCGGCCGAACAGGTTCCTCTCGGCCGTGGCCGCCGCCAGCGGTGTCGATACCTTGCAGAGACAGCATCATGCCCAGTGCCAACGCAGACGCATCCTGGTCACTCTCATCAAACCCATCTTCTTCCTCGTCAAGAACGTATTCGGAATCCGAGGTGGAGACGCGATCATCGGCGTCCAAGAAATCGAGGGTTTCCTCCTGCCTTCTCCGCCGCCCTGCACAAAAACACCACCTGAAGAAGGATCAGACCACGAAAACACGAGCGAGGGGATGAGGCAAGAAGAAATTTTACGGGGCCGACGATTTCTAGGGTTTACGATTCGGCGAGCCATGGAAGTAAAGGTAGGGGGAGGGCGGAGGGGAATGGATTTAAAGCATTTCTAGTCGCCAAGGGAAGCGACAAAACAATTAAAATAGTGGAGAAACGGGATTCGGTTGGATGGCGGGAACTTAGCGACGAAGCTTTGTTGCGGTTAGCTACTCGTCTCTGTTGTCAAACTGGTCCGACCGCAGCGCTTAGCGACGCATTATAATTCGATTCCTCAATTTTATCTCTTACATAAATCGAGCCTGTCGTTACAGTATTTTATGATTCTAACCTAACCTATATAAATTGATTTATTAATTAATTTATCATAAGCAGAAAAAATAACGATCGGATAATACAATTCCTATAAAATGCGTATATATGATCGAAATAATATATTATGTGTGCTTATTATACTAACCTCAATGCATACTTCATTCAAATAGGTTGTGTTTAGGTCGGCGTCACCCAAAATCTCAATTATACGATAGTTGATATCTACAAGAATAATTCACTCGAATTGGAATATGAAGAATAATTATAGAAAGAAAATAATATCAGATTTGGTGAATATATTAATTATATCAACGCCCTCCCCCTTAAGATAGTGTACGAAGGTCTAAGTTGTCCAACTTATAGATGAAAATAGAAGAGTATATTTTTGAGTGGTATAGTAAAAATATCTATAAAAAATAATTTTAATATGTTTTGTATTTATAAAAAATAAGGTTTGTTGCAATATGTAATATTCTTTGATTATGGTAATGTAATTTGGCTGAGAGCAAAAGTATCAACTTGTAACTATTGTAAAAGATATTTCCATCAATTTAAGTTTACAAGTGATTATCTTCTTGATGAGAAATAATTTATCATTTCTTTATCCTAAAAAAAAGGAAGTCTCAACATAATGCAAATATAGAAACTAATCTTCTTGTAGTTCAGCAACCTCCCCAATTAGTCAAAATTAGGTCATTTTTGTTGACTTGAATGTGTGTGTGCAAAATCTCAGTTATGTAGTAGCTGACAAGAGAACATTGTTTTCATCAATGAAGACAATGGAGGGAGCTTCAGTTGAAAGTATTCCCACTATTATGATATTTTGTTCACACGTATGCAATTTTGAATGGTACTATTCGATACAGACGGTACACATTGATCTAATAATATATCGGTATGCGGATCGTCCGCTACCGGACGGACTATGCTACGGTGCTATAGTAAAAGAAAAAAATATTTAAAATCGTTCGGTAAATCCTGGTGTACCACTCGGTACGTCCTGATATACCGCTCGGTACACCTATATCGTATCGTACCGAACCTCGAAACACCGGTACGATACGGTATTACATACCTTAGTTCACACCATATAAAAATATAAAATCTCAATTTTGCAATAGTTGATAAATGAATACTTTTTTTTTTATCAATATTCGAGTATTATCGTAAGTGCGGTCGATGAAAATGACAATAATTACTAAAATTTGATGGATTTAGAGAATTATTTATCTACATTAATGAAGCCAATATTCTCTTCCTAATGATTGAGATTTTGCATGATATAAATGAAAAAGATATCAGCATAATGGGAATAATTGCGAGTTAATAATATTAGAAGTAGTGCATTCTAAAAAAAAGATTTTAATCCATAACAAAAGTATATATGGGACATTTTTGATGATATAGGTCTACTTAGAGATACTCCCATCACTTTTTTAAATTATTTTACTCCTATTAATATAGAAAAATCATTCACTCGATCGTATGGTGCATGTAAACTAATTAGATATTAAAAATAGCAAATGATATCACCTCATATTTGTTCATGCAATTGCAAATAGCATTCATAATATGTTTTCAAATATTCGTGACATTTTTTTTTCAGTTATTGCATTTTAATTCTACGATATATAAGCAATGGCTTATTGCACTAACATCGCGAGCCTTACCAACCTCGGCGCCGGCCGCTACCTCCTGCTTCAGCTCCTGCAGTCGACGAGTCTCCACGGCCTCCGGTACTCCCAACTCCCCTGCCACCACTTGACGCCCCATTGCCGCTCCCCATACCTCCGCCCACGCCACCAGCGATGCTCCCGGTCGCACCGCCACTCCCTATACTAACACTACTCTTCTTTGCACTGGCAGCGCCGCCTCCGCCGAACCCCACCGCGACGCTCATTCCGCCTTCCCCTACGTGGATGCCGACCCCAACACCGATCCCTCCCACAACGCTGGCTCCACCGTCACGAGCAGTACCAGCCCCACCACCGGGTCCTCCGCCAATGGTGATGTGCCGCCGCTGCCATCAAAGCAGCATAGATAGTACTCTTGCATGGATCATGAACAAAAGGAAGAAACATGAGGTTGCCATGCATGTAAGATCAACTCAGAACTGAGACTTCACCCCCACCATCACCTGGATTGAATCTTAGACTAGAAAGAACTCAATTTATATATGAGATACCTATTGGCATGTATGATGGGATCATCAAAGATTTATTGACCAACGACTATAACTTGGGTTCTAATGTATTTATCAGACAACTCTGAATTAACCTGTACTAGCACTGGAAGATTTGGAACACCAAAAGAAAAACTCTGATAGGCGGATCTGCCTGCATTCAATTTTCAACAAATATATTTTTATTTTCCGTTCAAGAGGCACACAGCTCTCAACTTGTAAATGCTTTATAATATAAAGAGCAAAATTACATGTTTTCAGCTCTTGAAAGTTTTCGTAGACCTCGTAAACCAAGTGACAATCACAAACGATCTCTTAAAGGAAAGAAAAGGGTTGAGTTCCCAGCCTCAGGAAATATTCATTTATGATGGTGAACATCTTAAATACTGGCTGCTGCAACTTTCTTGCTTAATTAGAGTCCTTTTCTGTCTGTTGCTGCATCTGCTTTTGTTGATGAATTGTCTGCTGCTGCTGCTGCTGCTGTTGGTCCCATATTTGCTGAGGTATGTAAGGTTGAGACTGCTGCATGAACAACAAACTTTGGTCCACTTCTGAGTTATTCATGATCATTTTGAGAGATCCAGCTTGAGAGGGAACGTAATAGTATGGCAGAGATTCATTGGTGCCATCCGTCGAAATCGATGCAAGCACATCTTCCTTCACATCTTCCATTGGTACAATATCCACCAGGAAATCAAAGACATCCGTCCTCGTGATTGCACCAGCTATGTCATTCTTCTGCAAGGTTCTTCGCTTGTTTTCCTCGGCATGAGCCCACGAACGGTATGTCAGTTCAAGAATGAACATTTCGCATGCCCGTGCAAACAGGACTGGTACCTCTGCCGCTATCATCCTAACATCCTCATCTGCCTTCATGATCTTTTTGATTCGTGCCAGTGGAAGACTGTGGTTTTTGAAGTCACAGGTTGCAGCTATCTCCTGATATTGGTTTGTCCGAAACATCTGGAGTGTTTGGTGCAGTTGATTCATCTGTTGTTGCTGGGCTCTCTGATAGGCGAGATGGTGCTGAGTGAGTTGTACCTGGGATGCAGGATTTGTCATCTGGCCAGCTGAAGGTGGTAAGCTGGTGACCATCATTTGGTTAGCTTGATACGGCAAGCTAACATATGGTAATTGGACGGCCCCAGTCCCTGCTGGCTGTCCGTGCCCAGGCACTTCCATGTCAACCTGCACCATTAGAAACTCTACTTCCAATACAAGAAGCCACAGGTGAAAAGCAGAAACATGAGAAGCGAAAGGATGAATTAGCATCAGTATATATATATATATATATATATATATATATATACTTTAAG